AAACAATAACAAATTGTTGAAAATTCACCAAAATGCTCTTCATAATTCTCAATCAGTACATTTGTATTCATGTTTCTGAGGAACAGAACAAACTATAGGCAATGCAAAAATGTCAGGAAGAATATGTTTTGGACTCCTATAGAATATGCTCATGGCCTAGAGAAATGCCTGCTTCATAAATCACGCATGCATCAAGAAATACTATAAGGATGTGTGGCTAAAGGTCATGTTCAGCACAAGCTGTATTGACCAAACCTGTGTCAGTATAAATTGTCTACTGGGAACGAGAACAGACTCAAATATCACATTTTTATATTTCATGAAGGGAGAGCAAAATCCCATACTCACTAGAATATAACTGTTATTGAAATACAATATACTTTCTTAACAGACTTTTTATTCAATGCTACACGGAAGGGGTATTACTCAACAAATGCTTGCTTTTGTTTGGTTATTGATAAAAGATAAACTGCAATAGCTGTTTAACAAAATCAAATGTTTCTAGGCTGTAAAACCTACCTGCACACCTACTGTTAGCCACAGCAGACTGCAGAGTGAATCAAAATACTTCTATCCTCAATAAACTATTTGCATGGACTTTATTACTGCTTGTGCACTAAGAAGTGCGGTAGTTCAAAGGAAAATTAAAAACAACTTCAAGAGTGAGGTGCACCGTAGTGAAGTAAATTTGACAAATTTTCAACTGCGAGGAAGCTGAGTGGACTTTACAACGTAGAGGAATTCTCTCTCAGTTTTCACACTGGAATTTTCCAGATTGAAACAAACAAACAAAATAACAACTCCAGATTTGTTACGAAGCAGCGTAAGTCTTGCTAGTCTAATCTAGCACCTTTACAAATAGGCATGAGCCCTATAAAATGAATTCACTGCCTATATTGTGCGAGCATTATCCAAATGACACGTACACAAATAAACATCAAAGTGTCAATCATTCTCAGATCTGAGTTGCAGCTTTGACGTGATGGCTTTAATAGGCAACCTGATGATCCCCTGACAGGCAGACTGCAGGGGCTGGAGTGAGAAAAGAGTCTCATTCAGCTCTGATAAAGTCTTCTCCCTGGCCCATGTGAGGCGCCTTTGAAAGAGTGATCAAAGCCCTGAGAACAGAAGCTTAACGCTCGCCTCAAATTCTACAGCTCACCCACCAAGAACAGCACATATCAGAGCAACTGTAATACCTCCATCACCTCCACAAGCACCTATCACTTAGAGCCGACATTTTGTCCCTCAACAGCCTGTTGAGTGAAGGCAAGAATTCAGTCTAATCCCAGTGAATGGCAAATCAATCAGGCTTTTATTCTTGACTCCTTCTGATAATGATAGCAAGTAAAAGATCAGAAAGTGTGCTCATTTCATGGGCAAATTATAGTTTTTTTTTGTCCAAGTGGATGTGGCAGGTGGCCTTTAGAGTTTTGAAGTCAAATCTGGAGTGCCTTTGTGATTCTGTGAGTTGTAATGTTTTTAAACATAACTTTTGACCTTTCTACTAAGCCTCAATTTAATTCTCTAAAGATTTTCTCAAACAACAACCAAAGATTTCAAAATGCTTAGTTTCAGACAGATTTTAGTCTTAGATGAACTCTGTAAAGACAGGGGACTAAGAAAAAAACAAAACTTACAATAAAAAGATACTTACTTAAACAATGCAAGGGTATATATTTTGTAGTGGCAGTTATTTTAATCACAAAATATGTATCCTTTTTTCTCCCTTTTGACAATTCAAATATTGCTGGTTAAATCATATTTTATTAATAATGATGTGCCCTTGAGGGCCCGCCACCTTTATGTTTGACTTTATGGTACTAAATGTGTCTATTTCCATGGAGACAAACAAAAAGAAATACATTAAATGTAATACAGATGCGTTATTGCCATAATGAGGAACATTCTGGGCAAAGAAATAACATCTCCAGACAAGCCGGTGATGTCGCCCCACCAGAAAAGTTTCATAGTGCACCTTTAGGTCACTATGATGAAGCATTAATCAGAAACACTTAGTCCTGATTTACAGCCTTCATTTCTGCTTCATAGTTTGTGCTTCAGAATCCGATGCACTGAATTCAGACGTGTTTCTCTGGCAAACCCTTGGGAGAGTGAATAGCCCAGCACTTATGCCGACTATAATGCAAACACATGGCTGAGGAGTGCTAAGTACAGGCCCTTTATAGCAACACATTGTGTTTGCATGTCTCAGTTCTCCTCGCAGCATCTGCCGTGCAGCATATGAGCCTCAATGACTGCTCTCAGCACAGGCAACAGCTCCACTAGTCTTCGATGAGTTTTAATTATTCACAAGTATGCTTCATTGAACAGAACTGGGGCAGGCAGAGGCGCAGGGAGAAGGTAGATTACAACTCTGCATGCGCCCTCCCTTCGTCTCGCTCCCTTCCTTCGCTGCACCATCTGGCAACCTGCTGGTACAGGCACTAATAAGTCCCTGTTCCACGTTCATACACAAGTCAACCAAAGTGCTCCCTGATCAAAAGAGATGGCACCAGTGACAGAGGTGTGGCTCAGCAGATGAATACACAATGAATATGCAGCGGCTCCGTCATGTTTCAGTCATTTCAGCCATCAAAGGACGCATCCTCTATGGATGAAGCAGAAATATGCATGCTCCTCTCAAAGCCAAAATCTCACCTTCATAACAAAAGCATCTTCTACTTTACTTCCTCACTGCTGTCATAAAATGCAGTTATTAGATCCTATCTGGGCACTTTCACTATCTCTTTTCACAGAAATACAAGCGGATAATAACTCTAAGCTCCCGTAGTGGATGAAAATGAGTGGTTGTCTGTCAGCGTACATTGTTTGCCCTGCAATCAGTGGCAATTGTCTGATGCAAGCTCTGCTTCACCTGCTGGAAAAGCCCCTGAAATGACCAACGCATTGAATGGTACAATTTCTGATTTTGTACACAGCTGTAGCAAAAAAATCTGACACTAAAAACAAATGACCTGATCTCTACAGCACACAGACACTTTCCCAAACCTCCTACTGGTCAGCCACCATTAGCTTGTGAGTAACAGGTGGATTCGACCAATCAGAGTGAGTGTACATTTTGTGAAGCAGCTTGGCTTTAGTTATCGCAGTGTATAAAGATACTATGTACTTGAATAATAATAAAATTTGTCTCTAAGAAATGTGTATCTATAGCATTGTACTGTTTTAATTCTCTTCACGCTAGCTGTGTAAGCAATATAGTAAGTAATTACAGTAAGTGATATGTACTCAAGAATATTGGATCACTTTTATTAAACTATTTCTGTATGCAAACAACTCACACTTAGTGGAAGCAACACACAAACTCATCTCTTCCAGTTACAATTGCAACACAAAATCATAACTAGTTTCGAACTTTAATTCTCCCTGGAGTTGAGTCCTACTTTTCTTGACAAGTGAACAGTTGCTCAGTTTCTGCACTATTAAACATCTGAATTATGAATGTAAAAACCTGATTGGCAGCTACACTCCCTCGTGTTCCTTTCACTTGATCTTTGCTGATAGCTTTCCCTAGCCCCAGATCTGCCATAATGCAGACATCCACAGCCAGGAATCATAAGTGAAGCAAAAATCAATAGTGGAAACTGCCTCAATTTATTTTCCACACTGTGAAAAGAAACACAATTATATAATGGCTTTTAAAATAATAGGCATCTACTCCCAAAAGAAAAAAATCACTAGAAACTGCAGATATATAGAATGTGCTGAGACGAGACTTTCAAATGGTGGAACATCTGAAAACACGCCAGCAACATCAGATTTTGGAGACAGCTACAAGAGAGACTGCCACATAGTAAAAAATGTCTACAAGGGAAAGATAAACAGCCTGTCAGAAGCTACACGATATGATCCGCTAAGACAGAAGAACCTTGAGACAGATACCGACCAGTGACCAGACACATGCAGCATGCAGAGCAGTAGAGAAACCAGACATCATTCTCTTAGACGCCACTAGGGGTCACTGTGGCTCTATACCCTGCATTCCAAGGCTGTGATGCTGAGAAATATGAGTGGGAAAGATTTAAAAGGCCTATTAGAATGGCTGAATCATAGTGAAAAATAAGGCATATTTCAGCCCCCACTTCTCCATACTGGTCATGGTGCTAATACGGACCCCCTCCTATATGCAGCAGTGGTGACAGGCGCTGCTGCTAGCACGTCCGTGGCAGTTAGTAACACGTGAAGTCATTAGCAGTGAGCAGTGGTAAATGATTCATCTTTCATTCGGAGGCACAAACTGAAAATAGAACCAGGCGTACACAGGTTTATTAGGATGGAAGAAAATACGATGCTGCTAGTAAATAGGGGAAAGGGTAGAAAGCAGAAGCAGGGATCCATCTTAGCTCCACTGCAGGGAAAGGAGGAAAAGTGAAATGATTTTTAGTGCAAAGTCTTTTTTTTAGACTTTATATTCTTTTCATCATCCAGAAGGAAGCTGTATTAAGGTGAAAGCATAAAGCATTGCAAAATAAAAAAAAAAATAAAAAAATAAAAAAAAAACATTTTAAGTAGTAAAATGAAGCCAGATGTGCACTTCTCTCACAAGGGCATTCTATTAACCAAAACTGTGAGCTGTATTTCCTGTATTTTCAAAGACAATTATTTCAATTTGTAGGATCATTATGGGTAGCACTCCTTGTAATTCATGTTGGCCTTAGACAACAAATCCAAAAATAATTTAATATGCCATTCAAGCAAATAATACAATTCTATCACTGGGTAAAAAACCAATAACCTTAAACCGTGCCTTGTAATTATATCAGTGACACTGACAGAACATGACACAATCAAACAGAGCCATGTCTTTTAGTTGGGCTTAATCCTGAATAATGTCTGGAGAAGTGAACGCAATAATGGATTTCTGTTAATAACTATTTTGTCTACTCAGCATCCTACTCAAACTTGTAGGCTCCTCCATGCTTAGGTCTAATCGATGTAAAATGTTGATATTGATTGAGGGTCAGGAAGAGACTCACCGACTCCGAGCTGCTGCCAGAGTGCTGCAGAACCTGGCAGAGGAGAGGCAGCGGCCGACTTCACCCCTGCGGAGGCAGTGGTGGAGGAGATGGAGGGCAGGAGGCCCGGTTGCGCCTGTTGTGGCCCTTTGCCCCTGGCCCCTCCTGCCCTCTGCCCTCCAGGTCCTCCCGGGCTAGGTTCCGATGTGGCCCTGCCCGCTCCACCTCCGCTTACTCCTCCCCCTGCTCCCAGCCCCGCGTTGGTATTCCGGAGGGGCCAGCGGTTCTGGATGTGGGACACGGCCTCCTCTGCCACCATGGCGTCTGCGCGGGTGACTCGGAGCGTGGCGTGCACGGTAAATTCCTGAGTCTCGTCGGCCCACAGGTCAGACACGCGGCACTCGTAGATCCCTTCGTCCTCCTTCTTCACTTTGGACAGACTGAGGCGGTGCGAGATGGCATTACCCTGGACGCGCACCGTCTGGAAAATATCATCAGTTCAGTTTAACTCCATGTTCCTTAATGCTCATACTATTGGTTATCATATCATATCTTTTAAGCTTGTGCTGTTTGAGTGACATGGGCAAATTGTTGTTTTGTTGATTTTTTTTTTTTTACCCTGGTATAGAAATGGGGATGTCAGGATGGATCCATTTAAAAATGAATAGGTCATTTATAGAAGGATTTTAGAAGTCACAATATGAGTAAAGTTGAATCTATGCACAGACAGAAGGGCTGACAGGAGAAAAAAATTACTATATCAAAATAATAAAAACATTATTGCTGTTTTGTTTCAAAATATTTTTATTGGGTAGTTTATTATCAGTTCAGTTAGATTTTTGTGACTAAAATTAGGACAGCAAACAAAAACTGAAAATCTGTTAAGATATTTTAGCAATTACTGTGATAATAATAGTGCCTTGTTAAAAAAGTGCATATCAAATATAAGCTATACACATTTTAATAGATTTAAATACAACTCTAAAAATGCAATGTAAATCATAAAGTGGAAGATTATTTACTGCCTCTTCTGTGTATGCTTCTACAACAGACTAGAAAATATAGACTAACAATGAGAAGTTCAAGTTTATTCAAAGTCACACAGAACTAGTTTGACACCAGTCCTAAATATTGTTCTGGAAACCCTGGGGCTTATTTGCATTGTGTTAGTGTTAGGGATTTGGAACAATAGCTTATGGTGTGAAATTAGTACACTACACCGTAGTATAAAAGGCTGACTGGGCAAACAGTAGGATCTGTATTTGAGTCTTAAAAGAAAACAATTTTCACTTAAGAAGGCTTGGGTAACTTTAAAAACTCATTTTATCCTACAGTGTGTATAACATTTGTATGTGCATGTTTCACGCAAACTGCATGTTGTCCAGCTAACGAAGACTAACTCTCATTTTTAGAAGTAAGTCCTTTATGAAAATGACCTGCATGAGTATGGGCCTTGATTCTACCCAGTCAAAAATTTTATGAGAAGACATTAAACCTGAGTCCATTTGTTCAAGGCCCCTGGTAATCAAACTAAAACGGATGAGGGACAGTTTACTTTTCTTTTTTACAGTAAAACAGGCTGGCCAGGCTAATTCATTAGTGAGGATTTAATGTGGCCTTCTGAACCAAAATCTGGGTCATTTTTTGCAACATATGTCACTCAAACCTCAGTGGACAGAACAGTGAGGGAGGTAGTGTAAGCTTTAGATCAGTGTTTAATTGATATCGCCTGACCCTCTTTAACACAGTAACCAATTTAGTCTCTGTGGTGTTGCTGTTTGTTTCTCCAATTGCACACAGCCTACTGTTGGGAATAGTTTAGATCAACAAGTCTCTCATTTACAAAATGTTGCATTTCTCTTTGGAACAACTATAGCTGACTGGGTGCAGGCAAATACAAGCTAAGATCAAACACAGACACAAACATCTGAAATCAAACAAATAAGAGTGCTCTTGAATAATAAATGCTGCAATGGAAAAACAAGGAATGAAAGACATTGAGATGAGCAGAGTCCGGCATGCTGTGTGAACCCAACAAGGTCAAGATCATGTTTTATGACTGAAGCCAGAGGTTCTGGCATCAAAAAGCATGGGCTGCTGACACTGTATTAGCTGCCCAGCAGGCCAGCACATTAGTTCACGCGGCCTCCATTTCCCCTAATAAGGGCGCCCTTTATCGGCTTAAACGTAACATATTATCAGAGCAAAACCTGTCAAAACATGTTTAACAATGGCACTGCAGTAAAGGTCCGCGTGAGGCAAGAGAAATATGCCTACAGAACAGGAGTTAAACTTCACTGTCAGGGCCAAATTGCACTGCTATTTCACAGCAATGAGGAAAACAAATAGTCTAGGCAAATTCCGGGATACCTAGAGAGCAAGCAGTACAGAATGCTCTGCGATGATGAAAGCCCGCTCTATCTCCAGTATAGATAACATCCCACCTTCTGATAGTGTGCAAGCAGCAGACACATATTCTGTATGAATGATTTTGTTGTTTTAAACTCTAGGAATCTACTACACTTGGTGTAAAGCAAAAGATGTGAGCAAACAGGAAAGTGAGCACTTACACTTATTTTCGTGGCCTCCCTTGGAACAATCTGCAAAAAGAAAACAGTTTGAAATGACACAGATGCAACAAGATATCAGCTGTTATATAACCCTAGCAATGAGACGACGTGCTTTTTTTCTCCCTCAATCAGTCAGAGGCAGACGGCAGCAAAGAGAGATGGTACCACGCATTCTCTCAAAGGCACCATTGATAACCCTCCACCCCCCCTTACCCCCCTATACCGCCCCTCTCTCCTCTCCCCCGCTGCATGTTTTAATGTGCTTAAACCCGCTGAGGAAACGCCGCAGATGTGATTGTCCCCGACTCCGGCGATGACTGGGAAAAAGGACTCGGGGCTGATTTGTCATGCTGAAGGGAAAACTAATTCCCAGCGCGTCCTGCCACAGTATCCTATCATGGCGGTGTTAGGCAGAGGGAGCTGAGAGGAATGTAATGGTGTTGATAACCAACCAACAAGTGCCCTCTCTGCAGTGGCGCTGACACGTACCCCCGCCCACCCCCTGCCCCGCTACGCTCAGCCCTCCTCACCCAACACGCACTCTCGGCTGCGTATGCCTGATTGTAATGACAAACAAAACAGCACACAAGGTCAGATACATATCGGTGGGGTGCGATGACGAGCGGATAAACGCCGGTGTTTCTGAATCAATTGTTGGCAAATGTCTGGAATTCATGTATGTGATTAGAACTAATAATCTCAATGCAACAGGTCTGAGCCCCTTTGGAATAAGTGCATATTATTATTGAGTAGGGCAAACATGTTTCTTTAGTTCAAGGATATATTTAATATCTCATTTACCTTTTATATTTTAATCATGCTGTTGCAACACTGTAATTCTTCACTGATATACAACATGATAGTTTCTAACTGTTCACAATCCTTATAAGAATACCAGTCTCCTTAAAAACAGTTGCACCAATACCAATTAAAGGCACAGAGGTGGCACAGTATGTAAAGTATTTAACAACTAACAACAGGGTAACCAGTTTGAAACTTGCCTAAGACTATACTGTTGTTGTGTCTTAGGGCTGTTGTGTTTTTGGGCAAGGCACTATGCACTGACTATTCCAGCCACAGAAAGTACCTGATTGTTGAAGGGCACTGCTGAACTCTGTATGCCCATGTTAAATAACTGAATTGGAATTTTATGACTAACCAAAAACCTTCCATTTTCAGTGAATACAAATAATTCCATGAGTTTTCTTATGAAGGTCTCGTCTCTACTAACTTTGAGAGGGGGGTATTTAATATTATGGGTTTTGGTGTTTGTTTTACTTGCCGTGTTTTTTAAAGACCTCCCACTGGCTGACTTGATCAAATCGCTTCATGACTCACCAAAAATAATTCATTGTTTGTACCGAAAAGGGCCTGGGGTCATTGTGGCTTTTTATGTAACATGTTGGTTGTATTGTGTATTTAGAATTTTCTAAAATAAATAATTCAACAACTAAATATGTGAAATATTTAAGCCTAAAATGTTTTTAAATGAACATTCATACGAGATATTAAACTTTACGTTATAATATTATGTGTGAGTGTGTGTTAGTAGGAGGTGGGGGGGTCATAAAAGGGAGAGGTATCACATCTCTGTGATTCTAAACAATATTTTGGCTCACCAACTGGCCCATTTTGATGAATCTCTCTCAAAAGCATCATTATTTACAGCGTTATAAAATGTATACATGTTTGTGGCATTATGATGGAGCATGTAGCGTGGTCATCATATTGGTTTCATCTTTTTGCATGTATATTTTGCATAATGTGATGTCTTCTATGCATAAGTTATAAGCTATGCCCTGGTAATATTGGATTTCAATGTACCTGTCATAGAGCAAAACACAAAGAAAAAACACACTCACATTTGTATGTATTGTCTTACATTGTTTTGCACAAGTAGTGTAACAATATTGTGTAATGCCATGTTGAATTTTGTGCAGTAGAGTGATTTATTTGCTGCAGATTTTCAAAAGAAACATTTTTTAACATTTACTTGGTACTTTTTAAAGCTCACTCTGTCAAAACACATTTATTTTCATCGTGTTTCATGTGACTAATCGCAAAAATCCGTTCAAATCTTTCAAATAGAAATCGTGTTCATCTATTTTTCAGGGAATGTAGATCAGTGACATATAGAATTATCTAAAGGTCAGTTATGTTTGATGCAAGAATCCTAGAGCACTCATTTCTACACAGAGGGGGCTTGTTTCGATCAAAAATCGATAAATTTGCACTTTTTCCCCTGCCTTGACGTTGAATGAGCCTTGCGGTTACCTTGGCTCTGCTGGCCGGTGAACTGATCTGCAGCTCTTCAGGCAGTTCCTCCGGCTGCTCCTCCTTCAGGTACCACCACTGGATCTCCAGAGCCATCGGTGCCGCGCTGACAGCCTTGAAGGCGCAGGGCATCTCCACGTCCTCACCCTCCCCCACGCTCACATCTTTAGGGACCTCGGTAAATGCGGCTTCAGTGCATATGTATGAGAGATAGAGAGAGGGAGAGGAAAAAAGAAGAGGAAGAGAGCGAGAGAGATGAGGGGAGAGAGAGACAGCAGCAGCAGGGATGAGCCAATGTGAAACTGTTGCTTTGGATCAGTCTGCAGTTGTCAGAAAATACTCGTCTTTTTTTTTTTTCGATTTTGGAGCTTCCCACCCCATTTTGAGTGATTTAGGGGGATTTTGGTGAAGTAATGATTTTATTACAACACGTGTGACCTATCATTAGATTCGAGCTTAATTTCGAAAGCAATTTGCCACAGTTTTATGACCTTCAACCACGATAAAACCAACGCCATGCATTTAAGAATAGCTCACGTTTACCCATCAAAATAACTGGGTAATCTTTGTTAATTACTTACCATGTGCACAGATGATAAAAGGTGAGTGGAGGATGAAGTAGAGGAGGCTGTAGAGTCCGGTTTTACCCATGTCACAGTATGGCTCGTCACACGCAGCTCGGACATTAGACGGTCATTTGACCTAAATGTGGAGCAAATAACTCCAAATACGGCAAAAGAGGAGAAGCACAATCCACAAGTAAAGCCATCAGCCAGGCAACATGTACAATCCGTACGTGAGCGCTAGCATGTTTCAGACCACGGAAAAAAGAAGAAAGACAAGTCCAAGAAGTGGTTTTTAATCCAAGTCAAAGTCGTCTCCCTTTATTTCCCCGCTGTTTTCGAGGCAAACTTCGCCGTTAGCCCGTTTCCCGGTCGAAGCAGGGGAGCAGTGCTGGGCTCCGCTCCAAAAACCCATCACATAAGCGTTTCCTCTGGTGGGCAAAAAGCAGCGAGAGAGCAAGCCCCACACGCAGCACCGACAGCAGCAGCAGCCAGCCGAGCCAAGCCAAGCCAGCAGCACACCGACCGCCAAACAACTTCTAGCCGCGTCTCGACAACTGCCTGGCCGCCGCTCGCTGGGGAGAAAAACCTACCGGAGCTTTTCTTTTTCTTTTTTTTTTTTTTTTTTTTTAACTCTCTCTCTTCACTGTGGCTGCTGCGTTTATTCCGTCTTCTTCCACTCGTCTGGCTGCTGTCACCGACACGGAGCCTTCCCGCCGTTTGATGTGCGTCGCGAGCGAGGAGGCGCGAGGAGGCGCGAGCGAGCGGCAGAGGTCCCTCGCGAGCCCCCCCTCCCTCCTCTTCCCGCCGCTCGCGCTCTCTCTCTCTCCCCGCGCGCGCTCCTCCATCTCTCCTGTGTACGTATGTAGTCTATGTGTGTGCGTGCGTGCGTGTGCGTCAGTGCTAATGCTGCAAAGTGAGGGCTAAAAGATGGATTTTATGACACAGCGCAGACATGGAAGGAAGGAATAGATTTTAATTAAGCGTGATAATAAAAAATAGTTTTAGGTTTAGGGTGACCAGACGTCCCTGTTTACCCGGGACAGTCCCAGTTTTGAGCCCTGTGTCCCCTGTCCCATCAGATTTATACAAAAACAATGATTTGTCACAGTTTTATACAAGACATGTCCTAGGTGTCTATTTTGGACCAGTTTGATCTAAACCAGGACTAAAATCAGGACTATCAGGTCTGTTTCAGGTCTAAACCAGGTCTATAACAAGTCTATTTCAGGTCTAATCTATGTCTAAACAATTGTTAACAGGACTATATCAGGTCTATTTCAGGTCTAAACCAGGAGTATATCAAGCCTATTTTAGGTTTAAGTCTAAACCAGGACTATGTCAGGTCTAAACCAGGGCTAAACCAGGTCTAATCCAAGACTATATCAGACCCATTTTAGGTATAATCCAGGTCTAAACCAGTACTATATCAGGTCTGTTTCAGGCCTAAACCAGGTCTAAACTAGGACTATATCAGGTCTATTTCAGGTCTAGGTCTAAACCAGGACTATATCAGGTCTAAATTAGGGCTATATCAGGTCTAAACCAGGGCTAAACTAGGGCTAAACCAGGTCTACACCAAGACTATATCAAATCTATTTCAAGTCTAATCCAAGTCTAAATCAGGATTATATCAGGTCTGTTTCAGGTCTAAACCAGGACTATATCAGATCTATATCAGGTCTAATCCAGGGCTAAACAGGATTATATCAGGTCTATTTCAGGTTCAAACCAGGTCTAAACCAAGACTATATCAGATCTATTTGAGGTCTAAACCAAGACTATTTCAGGTCTATATCAGGTCAATTTCAGGTCTAAACAAGGGCTAAACCAGGTCTAAACCAGGGCTATATCAGGTCTAAACCAAGGGTAAAACAGTACTATATCAATTCTAATCCAGGTCTAAACCAGAGGATCATAAATTCCATTTGTTGAGCCAAAATATACACGACCGTGCTTCTGTATTTTGTCTTTCAGGTTACACACTAACCCACACGTGAGTCGAGAATGGGCCATGCTACACGATTTTTTCACAATTTTATTTATACCTACCATCCCAACCCGGGTGTGTCCCAGTTTTTAATTTTGAAAATCTGGTCACTCTAGAAAGGTTTTAGTTATGGTTAATACAGTGGGGATGCTAGTGGGCCTAGGCTTGAGCTTTTTCTAGTTGTAGCCTCAGGGTCCACTGCAGTTATCGTCTATTCTCTTTGATTTTACTTAATTACATTTTTAGTTATCTTTTAAGCTAGTCCTTGTTTGGATCTGGTGTAGTTTCATCTGGTTTATTCCAATTTTAGACCCAGCTATATCAATCTTTCTTTAGAAGTTTAGTCTCGTTAATGATTAGACAGGATTTAGTCTTGTTAATTTGGTAGGCTTGCTCTGAAAGCTAATTTTGATATGGGTGTACTTGTTGTGAAATGTGTAAGAATCACTGGTGACTGTTATAGCTTAGTCTATAAAATAGGGCTGGGTTTTGCCAAGAACCTCGTAGTAAGCCTTAATGCAGTATGCAGCTAAGCTTGTTTAAGTGTAATAGACCTAAATTATCACAATTATCCCTGTATCAACATATAAGGTAAGATAGTCTGTACTTTATTGATCCCATGAGAGGGACATTCATTCTCTGCATTTGACCCATCCTTCAACCCGTGCCACTGGGGCAACCTGTCAGGAGCAGTGAGATACTGCCGTACAGCGCCCAGGGACCCATTTCCATGATCTTGAGCTATAGAGTCGGTCAGGACCACCTTAGCTGGACAACTTTTCACCCCATCTTGAGTGACTTTACATATGGTGCATGCTTTGGGTTGATGGGGGAAACTGAAGTGTCTGGAGGAAACGCACGACACACACAAGGACGGCAAACTCTGCACAGAAAGGCCCACAGAAAGCCACTCAGCCAATGTGCCACCCTTGATATTGCCAAGAAGTCTGTCACGATCTATAGCTGTATAAATATTTTGAGCACAAACCTATAGGCTGAAGGAAATGAAAACATAGCACAAACCTTTAGGCAAAAGGAAACAAAAACATAACACAACACTATAGGCTGAAGGAAACGAAAACATAGCACAACACTATAGGCTGAAGGAAACGAAAACATAACACAACACTATAGGCTGAAGGAAACGAAAACATAGCACAACACTATAGGCTGAAGGAAACGAAAACATAACACAACACTATAGGCTGAAGGAAAGGAAAACATAACACAACACTATAGGCTGAAGGAAAGGAAAACATAACACAACACTATAGGCTGAAGGAAATGAAAACATAGCACAACACTATAGGCTGAAGGAAAGGAAAACATAACACAACACTATAGGCTGAAGGAAATGAAAACATAGCACAACACTATAGGCTGAAGGAAAGGAAAACATAACACAACACTATAGGCTGAAGGAAAGGAAAACATAACACAACACTATAGGCTGAAGGAAATGAAAACATAGCACAGGCAAGTGTCTTTTCTTTGTGAATGGGCTGCTACTGCTCATCTTTGTGTACATGTCTGGACAGTGATAGCTAACATCATCTTGGAGCAAACCAGAATTAAATTACTCTATGAATAAATATTAAACTAATGGGCTACGCGAGCACACAAATCATAAAGCATGTGAACACTTAATCTACTGTCATCTCTAAATTAGATGTGAGCAGAGAAAAACAATTAGACTGCATTTGCAAATAAGACGTCACTCTTTTGCCACTATGGTCAGACAAAAGCATTAGGTTGGACGAGAAGTTTAATAAAACTGAAATATAGCATCATTTTCCATATTGCTGTAGTTTCTGTTAAATGATTATAGAAGCCATTAATTACGACTATATGGACTCTAGATGATTATCCTAATAAAAACGATCTCATGTCCTCTCTCCCACCGTGTCAGCAGTGCAGCCTGTACTTCAAATGGAAGGCATCACCACAGCGCAGAGTGCCTCAGACATTCCCCGAGGCTTAATTCTGATTAAAGCCCGGCGGAACCAAGCGGTGCGGGATGAAAAGCGTTTAGCGTCGAGTGGAGAGGTGTCCTGCTTTATGGTCTGTGTGATGTGGCTGCTCGTGTGTGCGTGTCAAACTCCTTCTCCGGGCACCGCTGTCAGGAACCGAGCACGCGAACAAAACAGTCAAGGACGGCCTGGAAACCAAGCCCCCTGTCCGTGTGGGTATATAAAAGCACCTATATGTCGTGTTATTGTAAATGGGAAGTAATATGACGAGGCTATAGGGATATGTTGAATGTCTGTGTGGAAAAAAAATGTGCTTGGTAGTTATAGTATTGATACCCTGCAGTGAGATCATGCTGGGGGTGTTCTGCATGTATGTCTATGGCAAAATGTTCGTTAGCTACCAAGGTGACACAATGCACACATTAGCAAACACAACCTATTATTATTATTTTTTAAGATTGTGATAAAATAAAGCCTAAATTAAAGACTAACAAAGCATCAGACAGAGCAGTGCCTACACACAACCCCCGGTAATGTTTATGATATCAGCTGCCAAGTATCAATTAAACTTTTAGAACTCCATAACCAAAATGCAGGTCAAATCTTATCATAGTTTTTCAGTGATAAAACATGTATAATTGAATATATGTAAGATATGACACTTGTTTAATGCAATACTTTGGAATATTCCAGGCAAATTGAAAACTCTTCTCCAGAAAGTGACAATGAAAAGCTACATAGTGTACTTTACCTGTACTTGAGGTTCAATTTGTTCATAACCATTCATTTTGTTAATGAGAGAGAGAGATGTAGGTGTGTTGTGAGTGATTGGTGGGAGTGGGAGTAAAGCGACTTTAAAAAAAAAAGTTGAGGAATTACAGTATTACCTCATCGAAACAATACCTTGTTGTGTGAGTTGTGTTTTGTTTCATTCACACGTTTGAGTAATCCTAGCTTAGACTGTCTGCATCCTCGAAACTCAAAATGGTCAGTTTCACCTTGTGATGCCATTCAATGCTATTTTTAGCCTCAACTGAACAGTTTTACTCTTCAGTACTCAAGGATAACCTTGTTCTTGTTTTTATTTTTGAGTATTTTTACCAATACTTTTGTGCAGTTAAGATTGTCAATAGAAAGTCC